TATGAAATTCTGCACAAAAATTTTTTTGTAAATCCATTTATCTATCTAAAAAATCACAATTGGGTCTAGTACCCAGGTACAAATAGAAATTCGTTTATCGTTATGCATAATGACAATCAAAAAGGGAATCCACAAGATAATTCGTAATGTTTATTAATACCTCTATTTGGGATTTAACTATGTTGTGCTTGAGTGAAATTTTTTTCTCATAGCATCATTGCTAAAGATGTAAAAGCCATTGCATACGTAATGTGTTATTTTATAACCATTAATGAAGTTAGTGAACTATTCAGGTACAATGGCTTCCTCGATATTTTTATCTAAATTCCACAAGATAGATTTAGAGTCATTATCATGTGCTAATCAAAAATTCACAATATCTGTGAACTTGATATTCATTTTTAGAGGTTAAATTACCAATTTATTATCAACACAAGGCATGAGAACTCAATTTATAGTACTATTAGAATGTATTCAATCAAATCTAAACTTGTGCGTAATCTCTCAAAGAGTCTTATATATCTTATTACAGATTATCGTTATCAATTGGTTACATGCATTTAACGCCCTTATCGTTATACGACGTAGACATAGCATGGATAAGACAAAAATGTCTATGGACATAATAACGTGAAATGCTGAATTTAATTAATCGGACTTTCCGAATATACATAATCTCTAACGATTTTTACTTCTATAATTTTATTTTAAGTGTGCTACTATGAATATGAATAAATCATTAAAAAAATTGCTTGAAGAGAATGAATTAATCAATTTTTTTGATTATAAGCAATTTATTGAATCTCAGCCAAACGGACCTAAAATGAAGTACGAATGGAATGGTTTAACCGTCATTCTAAAAAGTTTGAATTTTTGCAATATAAATGAAAAGGATCTTCAAGAATTTGTTGATGAGGTATTATTATTAATTTCTTAAATAAATTTTATTTGAAATTAACGTTGAATCAATCGTTTAGCTCCAATGTTTGCAAAAAATCCGAGGATTTTATCACATTATTAATTTTTATGGAATGACTAAAGGTAGTATTTCTTCTTTTTTTTTAATCTTGTATTCTTTCAAATTTGCATTTAAATAACTTAATAAATTAATATTAGATCCTACGACAGAGAATTATTATATGATTCTCCAATTTATTAATGGTAAAAATTTACAAGAATATCTTGATGAAAATAAACCAAATTTCACAATTAAATTACGCATTGCGAGGGAAATAGCCCAAAGTTTGAACGTTTTACATGAACACACCATTTTTCTTCGAAATCTAGTAAGTGATTTTTTAATATGACATCAATTATAATATGCTCTAGACAAATAAAAATCAATAACTGTTTCATTTAGAATTCTAAGAATATTTTGATTCATCATGACTCGGCAATGGTCGCAGGTTTTGGATTACGTAAGTCTTCAAATAATTTAATGCTAAACACACCTTTTGGATTTGAACCACATTGTGGACCACAATGTTTAAAAAGTTCTTGTGAATGCTGCAAAAAATCACACGTTTATAGGTTTGGAGAAATTATTAAAGAAATCTTTAGTTCTAAATATTTTAGTGAAAATGAAGAAAATTCAAATAACTATGTTAAATTTCATGAACTTTCTTCCGAATTCAGTAGTCAATATCCGAACATAAGGCCAATAATAAATTTAATAGATGAAAAGTTAAAGGAACAAGAATTAGCATTATCAAAAACAACATCTACTCTCCTACTTAACGACATTTTTAATATATCAAAAGAATCTAAAAATATTATATGGTCAATTATATTAAAAAGCAAAATAATTAATGAAGAGCATGCTATAAAAATTGCTTCTTGGATTAGTAAATCAATGTCCATAGTGAATGGTATTCCTAAATATGAATTCAAATTACTCCTTAGAGGTAGTAAAGATGGATTTGCAATTGATAATTTTTATAAACTGTGTGACAATAAATCCAAAACTGTTGTTATATTAAAAGTTAAAAATTCCAATATTATACTTGGTGGATATAATCCTGTTGCGTGGAAAAAAGTTTCTCGTAAGAAATACGTA